ATATATATATATATATATATATATATATATATATATATATGGGGGGTTAATATATATATATATATATATATATATATATATGTATATATGTATATATGAATGTTTCTGTTCAGTGCCCTGGGATGACTTCTGTTACTTGGCGCTATATAAACTGAATTGAATTGAAACCTGATGATGACACTAAATAAACTGAAAAGGCAACAAGAAAACAATCAGAAATAGTCCATCAAAGAAATTAAGCTGGATTTAATGAGCAGCTTGTTTATAGTTTGAACTTTCACAGGAATTAACCGTTTGGGCTCATTTGATGAAACTGAAGGTACAAACTGTGTGGCGGTTCTTCCGGGAGGTGAGGGGCTTTCTGCCGGTGAGCTCATACAAATCATGCTTTGAATATTTACTCAAAGTGTTAAAGCACAATGTGCATTACTCAATGCTAACCTGCAGTGTTTGCTTTAGAAGTCATCCGTGTCTGGTATCAAGCCCTAAAAATACACCCGAGCTGCTCGCTCCCTTGCGCAGGGAAACAGGATTCCACAGGCAAATGTCTCACTTTGAATGGAAAAAAAACCACACTAAATGTCACATCATGGAGTGTTCTAATACTTAGTTCACCTAAATATCATTTCTTGACTGTGATTTATGAGTAATTTTGACGTTTTTAGACTCCGAAGCTCCATTAGTAATGGATGTGTCTGAACAACCTGTCGGAGCCACCATAACTGCTTGATTTATAACTGCCTCAGAACAATGACAGCAGATCCTAAAAGTCATTTAGAAAAATTCCTGCAGATGACTTATTCATGTTGCTGAATTGTATTCATTAGTGACAAACAAGCAGAGCCAGTTTCTGGCTGCATAAACAGGATGGAGAGTTGAAAGGGCTCGCTGAAGCGTTTGACAAAGAAGAGTTCAAACTGAAAATCTAAAAGCGATCGAACCACGAAAACTTCAGGCAGGATTTAAATGACAGCTATTTTATTAAGTGCATTTAAATACATAAACACACGTTAGCAATTTTATGAAGACCTAAAAAAAAAAAATCTGCAAACAATCTTAACAAACAAGCATAATTTACATCTGAAAAATACTGCACTTTTATACAAACAATAATGACAAATAAAAATCAATTAGTGTCATATTCCAAACAGTGACTCCATACAATGAAAAGTGAACGTGAGGAGTTTAAAGTCAGGACGGTGCCGGCGTTAAGTTAATGCAGGTCTGACATACCGATCAGGGGACTCATGCAAAGCCTGCAGGCAGAAAACAGCTTTGAGACTTTAAATGTTCAACATTTGCTGTGTACTTCTGGCACAAGCTGTGATTTATCCCCTCAATGAATCACTGACAGCTTAAGAGTCTTAGTGCCCTCGTAACTGAAAATCATCCTGACTCCCTTAAAAAAAAAAAAAAGATTATAGCTCAGGCACGGTGGAAACATTAGACATATAAACTATCTTAATCCAATTTAAAACAGCAGATAAATATACGTTTTATACATTTAGCTTTAAACGTAAAAGACAAATGCTCATTTTACCGAGCAAATAATCCACATATTCCTGTCTCTAAGCTTTACAGTAAAATCTAAACATGGAAGTTTCTTTTTTTTTTTCAACTTTAAAAATTGAACTCCAAATATGGCACTTTGTTGTAAAAAATATACTGCATTTGATGGCTGCTTTACCAACAAGTTCAAAGTTTTCCTCTGAGACCAACAAGGCACTGTAGCTTTTGGACCTTACAGCTCTTTTTTTTTTTTTTTTTTTTGGCATCAAACTGGTTTCTAATACAAAGAGACGCTACAATAAGGCAGTGCTGGATACTTGGCAACGCTAAGAGGTGGGTGTAATCTCTCAAAGATGAAAAGCTCAAAAACGTGAGTGTGTCATATATGCTGCTGTGTTTTGACTCACCTGTTTGGATCTGACAGATTTACACTCCTCGTCATACTGACCAAAGGTCACAGGATTACCAGTACAATCAGTGTGTATTAAACGTAGGATTCTGTATGATACTTTACACAGTCCACAGTAAACACAGTGCTGCACTTGGTACAAACTGATGTGCAGCCAGTCATCACGCTAAAGCAAATGGCTCGAAACACCAAACAAGCTTTTTGTACACTGATCCTGAGGCTCTGCTTGTTGTCAGGTTGGCATTAGTCTTTGGTTGCTTTTGTTCTCACTTAGCTGGCTGAGTGAGTTTCTGACATTAGGAGTGGCTGCTCCCGCTCGGGTCCCTCCGTTGCTCCGCTCGGACTGTGACCTTCTGAACTGAGGTCTTCGGGTTCCAGCGGAGATGCTCCCGCTCCCCGAATCAGTGCTGCATCCTTGGACACCCTCCTCATCCGCTCCTCTTCTTCTACCTTCATCCTTAGCTCCTCAGCCTCTATTTCCTCCGTGGTAGGAATGGAGTTCTTCTTGGGTCTTCCCTTGGGCTTAGTCGGGGCTTCGTGACCTCCTTTAAGCACCTAGAAGAACACAGACAGCCTTAGTGGACTGCTCCTGTAATAAATGGCAGCACAAGTCAAAGGCAATGCCAGCTATTATAGTAATTAATGGAAGACATATGGCTGCTGGCTCGGCCTTGTGCACTCATTCATCTTTAACGATTTCACCTCCTTTTTTGTTCCCCGTGTTGTTGACCCTTCTACAAAAGTGTTTGCTCTCACTGCAATCATCATCAGTCAAACCACACTTAGCCACACCATTGTGCTATCTACAATGAGTTGTTCTCATTATAGTCACCAACTGTGGGAACTAAAAATGTATTCAACACTGGCTTATGGTTACCAAGCTTACGGGGCTTGTTTGACCCGATAGAAACTCGCTCGAGATATGAATTAACAACGCTTTGTCCTGAATACGAAGAAAAACTGAAACAGACACACACTAGCAATTGAGTCTCTCAGCTGGTTTATTCTGCAACGCACACGCATGCACACACACACACATGCACATTCTTGTAAATGCACTTTTTGGGGACTTTGCATTCACTTCCATTTATTTATTATAGCCTAACCCTGACCCTTACCCTAAACCTAACCATTACTAGTGCACGCCTAACCCTAACCCATCCTCAATTCACACCTTAGTCTCAAACCTAACCCTGAAATAATGTAGAGGCAGGGCAGGCAACTCGAGACACGAAAGTCCCAGGTTCAATCCCCAATCATTGCACATCTCGTGGTGTCTCTGAGCAGGACACCCCATTCCCAATTTGTTCCCCGGGTGCTTTCAATAGCTTCCCACTGCTCCACCTGGGGGTAGATGGGTTAAATGCAGAGAGCCAATTTCGCCATTGTATAGGAACATACAGTGATGACAATACATACACATTATTACTATTATTATTATTATTAACCCCCCAATGAGACTTCTCCTTATGGGGACCTGGGTTTGGTCCCCATAAAGAGCAGTTGGTTCCTACAATGCATGACTTTTTGTAAAATTGGTCCCTACAAGGTAACCTGAAACAAAAATGCACACACACATACATATGCACGCATGATTACCTGCCTTTCATGCCAGCAGGTGGGGGCGGGGCTAATTAGGAAGATATTTGCATTTAAGACTAAACATCACTGATCTGGTATTTTTTATTGTTTCTACATGAGTTATGACCTGATCCATGACATTCAAAATAAACAATAATCTTATATATATATATATATATATATGTTTATATATATATGTATAGGAACATACAGTGATGACAATACATACACATTATTACTATTATTATTATTATTAACCCCCCAATGAGACTTCTCCTTATGGGGACCTGGGTTTGGTCCCCATAAAGAGCAGTTGGTTCCTACAATGCATGACTTTTTGTAAAATTGGTCCCTACAAGGTAACCTGAA